CTAGTTTATCGAAGACGCAAAACTACAAAATGAAGCAGATCCGAAGTCTTTTGGAGCTTCACTCAGCCCGAAGCATCCCTTTTGTAGAGCACACAAGATAAACGAATATCTGCTTTAGAGTTCAAGAAAGCTTCAGGATTGAACGGAACACATTTTGGATCATTCCAAACATTGTGCCAATATCATTAGTTTTTTTTTAAGAAAAACAGGCGATTGTTTTGTTGCATCTTTTCTTGAATGTTTGATACACAAGCACAAAATCGCAAATCCGACAGACACGATGGCCCTATTCGCACTGCATCTAGAAACCTGACAATGCTAATCCCTTATTGTTCTATCTTCAAAGGCGGTGAGGGTTTGTCAGGAAGTAGTTTAATTGGTAATGTGCAGACAGCAAAATCTGAAATCTGACAAATTGTAACGTTATGACTAATTGGTCAAAGGTTCCGTCGTAGAGCTCTGGAGCACCACAATCTTGTGAAAATCTATGATAACCAACGGGTGACTCGACGGACATGCCAGAATTATGTTAACACCAATAAAAAAGCCCAGGGTGCTATTTGAAATCATGTCACAATTTAAAAAGGTACAATTTCTTAATGGCAGCCTGATAACGTGTTAGATAACAATACAACATCTCAGAAAACTGCCTAATGCGAACAGAAGTCTGACAAACTTTGTCAATCATGAAAAAAAATTTATAATTGGTCTGAGAATATCGGCTTTGACAAACATTATCATGTTTGCAGTGCAAATAGGGCCGATGGCACCTATATCCCGTTTCATGCTGGTTAATTCTTGATTTTTATAAAATTATGCTGCTTCGGGGCTCGGGTTGTCTGGTGACAAACATACTTTACCGTTCGCACTGTACCAATTATACAGTTTCCTAAAAATCTTAAATCCTTTGAAGATAAAACAATAGGGATTAACTTTGTAAGGTTTTGACTCTGTAGTGACTAAGTTTTTTGGGGCAGCATTAGACCGATCCGATTTTTACGTCACAGGTGTTGCCACATACAATGCATTCTGATAATTGTAGTTATGCTTGCCGTTGCTATCCATCTTGTTTGCTGTGTCTCTCACTGCTTCGCCCGTTATCAAAGTATTTATGTTGAAATCATGAACGAAAATGTTGAAAATTAGGTAGATCTTATTAAGAAGACATCCCTAGTTTTTGTTCAAGACTTTGCAAAGAAAATTGTCCTACTAACATTACTGTCAACGGAGTGACATGGAAACGTTTCAAGGCCTATTGATACAGAAGAAAGTAGGCCTAAAAAACGCAACGGTGGCAAAGTTGTGTACCAGACAGTTTTTTTTATTTTTGAATTAATGTATGGAATACAAAAAGAAAAAACTGTTTATCAACTGCTTGATTTTATTTGATCTATTTACTAGCTTATTTAGGTTTATTTCTATCATTTGTTTAATATTTCCATCAATTCAGTAGATAACTTTTTGTATCATACCAATTTCTGCATTTTCGATGTGTAAATGTGACCTATTGAAAATGCTTGAGATAAAGAAGATGCACATTTCTGGTCAGGATGCAAAATTTTCTTACTCAATTTTCTGTTCTTGGAGTGTTCAGTCTTTTAGAAACGATGGGCAGCACGTTCTCTTGTGGGTTTGCATTCATAGTTCGCTTTACTCCTCGGATAAAAATATGAAAAATGGCAATTTCCCCTCCGAGTTTCTGCATCTATTTCCACATAGAAGACGTATTGTTGCGCCACAGAATTTAATTTGAATCCAGTTTAGGCGTCGTCTTTGTTTATGTTGAGCAAGATTAAGTTATTGGTATATTACATATCTATCATTCTAGGATTGTATTTTGTTCATGTTGAACAGTGATTGTGTTGCTTCCATGGAGAGCTGGTATTAAAGAGTGTGTTTGTTCATGTTGAGCAAGATTAAGTTATTGGTATATTATATATCTATCATTCTAGGATTGTATTTTGTTCATGTTGAACAGTGATTGTGTTGCTTCCATGGAGAGCTGATTGTATTTTGCTTATGTTCATGAATTGCGGTTGATACCTGATTGCTTTACTTTTCAAGTTACCTCTAGGCTGAAAATGATCGGATTTGCTCTTCCAATGCCGAATCAGACTTTTGGTTTAAATGCTATTTAGTCGCTTTGTTGTATTGATGTTCAGGATTTGAATACTAATTTCGTGGAATGGTGAACCATTTGCTTAGGAGTGATCATTTAACCATTAAAGATAGCGGATAAAAAAGTAAAGGGGCAGTAAAACAATGTGAAATTTCTCAAAGCACCCGAATAATGTTTTCCAGACGCTGAAATTGACTAACTGTGCATTTAAGTCATTCGCCAAGTCGAAATACTCCAATTTAAGCCCTGTTTACACTACACAAACTAACACTGGATCGCCTCAGGATAAAACCTACCAAGGTTAGATTTTGTATCATAAACGCAAACCCGACAACCTCGTTTTGATCTTTTGTTGCAAGAAACCTTCCTATACGGTCACACACTTGAAGCGCGTTTCTGTTTGATACCAACAGAGTAAAAAACCATTCAAGAAGAAATATAAAAATTTTGCAAATTAAAAAATTAAATTAAAAAGTTAAAAACATTGCAACTGATTGATTTGACCTATTAGGCGGTAGTAAGCCCGAACGTATGTTTAGGCCCAACAAATGTTTCATAAAACTTGCCGCCTGTCTTTTTGTCAGAATCAGACGTTACTTCTCTGCTGATGTTTCAAATAACATTAACATATTCTATGTATTGTATTCTGTCAGTTTCTGGCATTCCTTGGACAGACGTACTTTCGACATTTGCTGTTTTTCGGGCCGGTCTTACATGACCATTGGCTTGCTGGATAGCTTCGTCAGAAATGATTTCAAAAATATCAAGCACACGGTGTAAAAATTCTATATTGCTGGCTCAATGGTATCGCGCTTGAGAATTAAAATATCGCTCTTTCGTTTCCTTTGGAACGCGCCCTAAGTCTTGCGGCATACTACACCTCTTTCTTAGGCCGACCAGCCATTACAGCAGAATCCAACTGTACAGAGATAAAAGATATCGCACATTTCGAAATCCACGATCTTGTGCTTGATTTGCCAAGCGAATTATTGGCAGCCAATTATTCAATTTGGGCATTAAATTGCGACAGTAAGACTTCAAACGCTTGAGTGGCTGGATGTGTTTTGAGTTGGAAAACATAAAACTCTTTGCTATGGTATTGTCTCTTATTATCAAAAACTTGTCATCTAAACTAGCAAGACGCTTTTCATTATATTTTTCTTCGGCATTGGATAGGGCCCACACCACCAAGAAATGCAGGGTTGCCATACCCACGTTTTTGGGATGGAAAATGTTTTCAAAGAGGCCCTGAGGCAAAGAGGTCTTAATGTTTTTATTTTCTGTACTATGTCTATTCAAGTTGTCTTTTGAAAATGCCCATTGTCTATTCTATGTCAAATGTCAAATGTCAAATGTCAATTCAACTAACTGAAAATGCCCATTGACTTTTTGTTTTGATTTACTTAAATAATTGTTGTCGCTAATATCGTATAAAGAGAAAAGAAATCAAGTTGACGCTAGCCAAATAGTGTAGCCATCTGATTCAGCGACTAGCATCTTTAATGCTGTGCTGGCATATTTCTCATCATCTAAGTTCCTCAAACGTCTATAAAATTTTGAAATATTTATATGTTTGAGGAAATAATTGGGTAACGTCCAAGCACAGCATATACAGCGTCAGTTGTTGTTGATGATTCAACTCCTAATACGTATTTACAGGGTGACACATACAGTCTTTCTAATTCTTGGCAATCACCTCTTCCCTAAATTTCAGAGGCATAGTTTAGGATCGGCATGATAGTGTGATCGAAAAGATAAAGAATAATTCGGGGTTTGAATCCTCCCCACTCTCTTCTCTTGGCTAACAGAGAAAAAAAGATTTTCTACCTTATCTTCAATTTTTTTCAATATGCTCAGAGAAAGAACCATTTTATTTAATTGTAACACCTAAATATTTTTATATGCAACACTTCTCTATACACTTTTGTCCTAGTTTCCAAACAATTCTAGTTTCCAATTTACCACAATATTTTCGTTCTTTCACAGTGTTTTTGCCAAGAATTACTTTCACATTGACTTAAAGAAATCGGCCCCTCCACCTTAGAATTCGTTGCGTTAGCCCTGTTTGACATTCCTAATTCACATTTATGCATTTTTCGTTGAAAATGAAAATGTCATACAAATGTCCTCAAAAACTTTGCTAGCAGCTTCGAAAGTTTCTTGAAAGTTTCAGACTTGCATCAAGCCTCTTTTTACTATGAAAACAGGTTTAAGTATCTTGTTAAATTTATGGAAAAGACCTTATTACAAACAAGATTTTTATGTAGCAAGGAAATCTTTTTACAAGATTAGAAGCCTTTTCAATATCCAATTACTGTATTTAACCAAATTTGAAGATGGCGCGAAAAAGCAGAAACATAGCATGTTATATTATCAAGGTAGAAAAATACAACTTTTTCTACCTTCGTCTCTTATGAAAAACCGATTCCAAAAATGACTTTAACAGTTTCAAAACCATATTACTGTATTGAACTTTATTTCTTTAGACTGGGTCAAAATGACATCACAACACCTTCTGGTAACAATTGAAGCTAGAAGCTGCCGTCCCCTGGAATGGAGTATGTCCTGCTTAATTTTTCGCTTTATAAAAGTTGAAAAAATTTCAACTTCTAAGGTAATTTGCCAATTCCACTGAGTGGTTGTACGCTCGACGAGTTTGGTGACGAAACTGGCCTTAACAAGCTCGCAGTTTGTGGTTATCCTCAAACTTGGCTTATCGAATCCTTTAAAAAATGTCAAAAATGGTTTTTAATTCTAAATTCTTCTTTAATCAAATCTAAACCATATTAACACAGAAATTTAACAGACTGCTGCATGTATTGTTCATTTGAATGTTTAAAGACTTACCTAAGAAGAAACATCCTTATCAGTCTATTTGACTGGTTCTGGTTATGCGCAACAGATCGACATTATAATTCACTCGCTGGAATCTTCTGTGAATGTCAGTTATCGTCGTTGCAACTTCATGCTTTTGAGTAGCCTTGAGTAGGCTTAATCATATCAAAGTTAACGATCGAGCTATTCGCTATCCGCTATGGGCAAATCTCCAGTTGGAAGTCTGATCCTCATTTGCTATTTATGTAGCGTTACTTTTGGTATGTTTATTTTATAAATATTTTATGCCACATCTTAATGCAACATAGTCAGTATTTTCTGTTACAGAATTAAGGTCCAAAATTGTAGCAACAGCAAGGAAAATCAAGGAATTTTATGCTTTAAGAACCGTTTAAGTTACAAATTTACTCCCACTTTAAGAAAGAAAAACTTTTATTCCTAGCACTCTTTTTAAGACGCATTGAGGAATTGGATGAGTTTGAATAAATTCTTGCATTTGCATGTGCCGTCATTTTTATAAAACGTGAAGGCTTCACAAAAAAACTTTTTCTATTTCAAGGTGAGCTTTGTGAAATATCAACACGTGAAGAATCAAGCAGCTATTGCAGGAAAATACGCGATGAAAGTCTAAAAATGGAGCAAGTCTTTTACAAGCTGACAAGAGAGATTTCGATTCCGGGCCCAGCAGATGCACCTATGCCCCTTCTGGATCAACCTCTAAACGCAACCTTCAAACACTTCCTAACAGACAAATTCGACGCCCATTGCTTCAATATCCATTTCATTGTACTTCAAAAAATGTTGAATGGCATATCTCAGGCAGCATTGAAGCATTTTGCAACCCAGAACTTCACAACCTTTCACGAATATAACAATGTTCCTCGGTTTTTCAAAAAATCTCTAGGGGTAAGTACCGTTTATGTTTGGTACCATAGCCAAATAGAGTTAAAGTTCGAAACCTCTTTCACCCATTAAAATGTACACAGCTTTTAGCAATTAGGACGGCTGTTTCATCGGTGAAAAGGGATTAGAGAAATGGGGGTATGTTTAGAATTTTGTGGTAGAAGAAATTTATTGTCGTGTTTCAAATATCAAGGACAGATGATGTTCAGTTTCTGTACCCCCTTCCCCCAGGTCAATTTTGATATCTTTACTCTAACTTGTAATAAAGGGGCTAGGGGTGTAACACAGGCATGCTACTGGACACATGTTAAGGGGCTTGTCTCAACCGCTCTGTCCAAAATTGTAGATTGTCTGGAACATCTAATTTTCAATGTTATGTATCAGGAAACGTCTTCTAATGTAGGGAACAGGTTCTCAAAGGCTCAAAATTGTTATATTTTAACGGATCACTCTGTTGATAAACATGTTGTAAATACGTTTCAACAAACACAAACTAGACAACAAATACCGACAGTAAAAAGAGATTTGCATCACAATTTGCTTTCAAACAATTCTTGAAAAAAGAGGAACTTACTAGTGGGGTAAGTTGGGATTCGTGGGGCAACTAGAAAGGAACTTCTCTACTAGTCTGTATGTGAAAAGGATGCCCTGTGCAAGACAGCATTAAAGCAAAGACACTGGAAAATACTGACTGTTTATCAACTCTAAAAGGCAGAGACATTCGACTGCATACTGTGAATCACCTTCAGAGAAAGCTGCTTTTCAGAAAAAAACCGAGATTCAACTTTTTGTTTGGGGGGGGGGGGCAGCCTTGATAAATAGGTGTAAAAAAGCCATAGTTTACAAAACAAAAGTATTTTACTTATACCAGTTAAGTTTTTTAGAGAGAGCAAAGCCCCCCCCCCTTTGGCCCCGTTATCTCGGTCCTTGATTCAGGACACGTGAATGAGTTCGTTTAATCTGACAGAAGCTATCTTAATTACTAAAAAAAAGCTTCAATAAGTTCATATAATCAAAGACTTTGTAAGGAAAGAGCCGCCATTTCTGTGTTGTTTGTGATTTATAGCCCCACGTTTCATCGCCACAATTGATTTATGTGCTCCTACCTTGAAGTTGCCTTCACAAGCACAATAATTAAAGGGGCGTGGACAACCAGTAGCCTTTGCGGGCGTAAGCTGGGAAGGCGGCCATTTTCATGGTCCATTAAAATGGTGGAAAGCTGTTAGCACAAGCTGCGCGCAAAACGAAACCAAATAGAAGCTGTTCCCATCCAGAAATTTCCCATCGAATTTTCCTCGCTATTTTTGTCTTGCATAGAAGAACACAGTTAGAAAAACAAAAAAAAGCGAGCGCGAAAAGCCTGCTGGTTCCACAGGCCCCTTTAATGAACGTCCAAGCACAACCCCGAGAGCGTCCAGGCAATACCGTAAAAGTCTAAAAAGCACTAAAATAAAGCCAGATTATCCAACTTTAGCGGCCACGAAATGATGTTGACTCAACTTCATTACGAAGCCAACAATGCCAAGAAGTATTGTATGATTGCCAGAAGGGAAGTTGGCACGGCTTTTCGCGAAAACAATCAATCCTTTGTGGCATAAAGTGATTTAAAAAACTGATATAGTGGCAATAAAAGTTTTGTGTAAGAAGGAAGAACCGCAGGATAGGCTGTCCGCCGGATTCTGTGAATCTTGCAATGAGATATTAAAATGAAAGATATACAGGAACAAAGCAATACGGCGACGAGAATCCAATGTCACGAAATAAAATTTTCAAAATGAATTAAATTTGAAGAGTATACTAATATTTCGCCTCGGCATACAGGGCTTCATCAGAGTAAATGATGAAGCCCTCTTTAAATTAAATTCATTTCGAAAATTTTATTTCGTGACATTGGATTCTCGTCACCGTATTGCTTTGTTCCTGTATATCTTTCAATAAAAGTTTTGATTCTATTGTCTGTTTTGCCATTGTTTTTCTTCGCATACCAGAGCCCTGTGCTCCTATCTTGAAGATATCACAGCACGTACTCTAGCGCTCCAAAGTGCATAGAGCTGTGCACTTCGCGACTGATAAAGTTCTTACAAATCATGTCACCTAAACTAATACTTTGCAACGTAATAGCACCACAATTTCCAATTAAAGCAATTTCAAATCCAAAAAGCAAGTGAACAAATTAAAACCATCTCTGTCGCAACAAACAGCTAAATTTCGCAGCACGGCGTTTCTTACCTCAGGTCCCCAGGTCCCCAGGTCCCCAGGTCCCCAGGTGCTGTAGGTGAAAGGTTCGAAGATCATCGCATCAGTTAATATTGAAAGCTTCATAACGGTTTTCATTCCAAAAAGCATTTCGAGTATGAAGTATAAACTAACCATGGGCGTAGCGGATGCTATGAAACTACCTACAAAGCATCAAAAGAGTACCGGCATTCTTCGTACACAGCCACAGGATACCTATGTTTTCTCTTGGACTCAAGTGGTTGTTTTCCTTACGCACGCAGCACTGATTGGTCAACTTTGCCGGTCATGTGCTCGCATTTCTCTGATTGACCTTTTTCGATAAACAACTGGGAATACATTTTCCATCATTTTATTTCGGACCCTTATTTTGTCATTTTATACTCTGAGAAATGTAATGAAAAAGCTTTAAGTAACATAATGTGAATTGTTTGCTTTTCTCAAAGACATTTCTAAGTTCTATACCGCAAAAATTGTGAAACAAATAAGAAGTCAACAGTTGCGCAAGTTCTGTAGGCTCGTTTTCTAGCATTGAAGGTAGTTGACTTCCGTGATGTAGAACTATAAGAACTTTTATCCATTGTATTTTATATAGCAATTAACAAAACTTTAGACATAGAATGCGCAATCCCTTGAATTTGTTGCTGTTTTATACTAATGTCAACAACGACTAAGCCTCATCCACGATCGCATGTTTACTTGTTGTTCTAGGTCAAAGTAAACTGCCTTGGGTGCTAGTCATAGGTCTAAATTTTGCTCATGTAAAAAATGTTTTAAAATTTTTGGATGAGTTTGAACATGTGCTGGAATGATGATCAAAAAGTTGTGTAGCCTTTTTTATTTAAACGTTGGTTTTTGTTTATATAATAAATAAATAAATAATTAGTTAAGAATGCTAAACTCTCTCCATCTGTTAAGAAAGCTTTATTCCCTTTTTCAGTTGCATGATAAAGAGAAACAGAAGTATTTTAAAGATCCGTCGATTAGCTACCCTTTCGTGAAAGATTTTACAAAGAATGATCATTTTCTTTCGGATGAGTACTTTGTGGAAAAATGTCTGGCAGGTTCAAGTGTCATGGTACTGCGTCGCGTTACAAGAAGAGGTAATCAATCTATGTATATAGTTAGAAGAAGTTTATCTAATAGATACATCTTTGTAACAAACATTTTGAGAAATGTCCGATTTTACTCAAATTTTGCTAAATGAACTGTTTATTTACATACCTCCTTAAATTTTTAGTGAATGTTTGTTAATGATTAAGTCTAAATGTCCTTTTCTAAGTGTTGTTTAATCCCTTCGAGTGTTGTTTAATCGCTTCGAGTGCTGTTTAATCGCTTCGAGTGTTGTTGAGAAAATCCTGGTTCTGGTGAAAAATGCTTCGCAACTTTTATTAAAGTTTAATCGTTTTGCCACAAATAATTTTTTTTGTGCAAGTCTTGTAGCTTTATAAATAAAAAAGCTTCCCCATCTTCATGCACCTCAACTCTTTTATCAGGGACAAAAAAATCATGGGCCGAATGGAGGCATGGCTTTCCCAATCTTTCAATAAATAGAAGGTTATGATAAACTCAAATTATTTGTTTTGATCTGCTTTAAGATTACAGCAAATACATTGAGCCAAAATCCAACAGTAAAATAGCATCAGCGAAATGTTTGTTGAAGTAAGGGCTTGAGAGGGCGAGAGGAAACTTTCTTTACACTAATTACCCCTCCAGTGTAGGATCAGTGGCGTTTGCCCTGATCATTAGTTTAATAGGGAACCCTTCCCTTCCCGTCGCTTTATTCATTTTCTCTGTTTTCTCTTCGCTCCTTGTTTGAGCTTTTTCTTCATTTTCTACCATCACTTGAAATTTTTAAAGCCCGGTTTACACTACAAATAGCTACCTGGGTTCAACCGAGGTTGAGTTCACCCAGAGTAAACTCTGTTAAATTTGTATTCTAAACGGAAAGTGGGTTGAAACTGGATAGGTTTTGCACATTTGTCGTGACAGCATTTACTGTTAAAAAATCGCAATAACTTGTAATATTCCATTTCCGCGAACAGCAGATGCAGTTTCTTTTCTTTTTGCAAAAATATTCTACAACTGTTCATTTCTTTGAAGATTTTGGTAATGGCATTTAACCAATTGATAAAAAAGGTTAAAATACTGGCGATTTTTTCACCACTATAATCCACATCCGCAGTAGAAAAATTACCCAAATTCAACCCCGTTTTGCGTTTCGTATGTTGGTTGCATGAACTTGGGTTCAACCATTTTACAGTTTTTATCCCCTATCTTTATTCAATTTTTACAATATACACTGCAAACGATACTTTTTGGCGCCAAACATTCTCAAGCTTGCATTGAAGTGCAATAAGATTTTTATATTCCTTGTACAATTGCTTGATGATCGCAATGATCTCATTTAGCTTGAAGCGTTGTAGTTGCATTCTTTAACCGTCCTGTTCTGCACCCCAAAGATTGTAAAGCTGTGCTTAGATGGCACTGAAAACCGTAATTAAGTTTGACATTAAGGTTGTGGCATCAATTATAATTGTGGCGAGCTAGCATAGTTATTTGCCAACCTGTCTATAGCTCCCTTCTCCACTCCAAAATGTGTTCTGGCATCCCTGCAGTGTACATCTGCTTTGCCATAGTTATACTCACATATTTGTCCCTGCCTGGAAGCTGCTTTATATAACCCTTGGACCAAACCGGGAGACTTTTACGTTGTTGGTAATTAACGTTGATTAAGAAACTGAGAAATTCCCAGTACTGGAAGTTTTTTTAATTTACATTGATTTCTTCTGCTGCCACTATCTAACATAATCTTTTTTAATATTTTTTAAATTCGGTAATAGGCAAAATTGGAACTAATTGGAATGTCCTAAAACAAAGATTGAATCCAAAGTTCAACTGGGGTAAAGCGATTCACTCTGTTACAAAAAGAGGCTGTTGGCAGGTACTAGCATAACCTATATCTAAAAAAGGGATTTACAAATTGTGTCTCCTCCTTTTTTCTTCTTGTTGTTTCTTACATTTCAAATATCAAAAATTTGATTTTGCATTCTACGAAAAAATTCAGAAGTTTTCAGAATACCAAATGATTTAGAAAAGTTAAGGCCTTTTTTCATAAGCCTAGTATCTATTATCAAACACTGTTTGTAACTTTTAATTTTCAAGATTATTAGAATCTAAATGAATTACACTGTTTCTTGTTAGTCAATCATTGGAAGAATGGTGTATGTTGCAGAATTTCCACTGCTTACTGGATTAAAGAACCTCCCCAACATATTGCCTCGAAAATATCCACCTGGTGTCAAGATGATCCCCCAAACCAACCCCATCGCAATATTTGCAAGTCGGTATAATCCAAAGAAAAGGAAATACGAGCTGAAACCGGTCGCCATTCAGATAGATGACACACAAGGTATGTGATAGAAAGCTTTTTATCGCCTAAATCTTATCATACTGAAAGAGCTGCCTACTGCTTCAACCTATCATGCAGCATTAGGTATTAACTTGACGATGCCGAAGATATCTTGATACCAATATTGTTGAATGTTTTGAGCAAAATGCGTCCCCTGCGCAGGTGCAAAATTCTAAACGCTTTGATGCACAATAAATTTGCATTATGAAGTCCAGGCAGTTGGGCTATGAAAAGCTTTTAGTTTCTGAACTGCAATTTTCACGGCGTAGTATTTTTATCGCGACTGAAATTAATCCAATCATTTTTCCTATAAAACTAGCGGCAAAAGTATATGCTCCATGCGATGGATTTCATTGGCAAGTTGCAAAAGCGATTTTTCAAGTCTCCAGTATGTATTACACACAAGTTCACGAGCATTTACTGCGCACTCACCTCCGTATGGAACCAATTTGTGTTGTTTTGAAACGGCAGCTATCCAAGTACCATCCTCTGCACGAGCTACTGAAATACCACTGTAGAGGAGTTATCGCAGTAAATGCAAATGGTTTAAAGGCACTTAATAGCCCAGGGGGTTTCCTGAACCAGCTGTTTGGATATGGACACGTTGGTAGTTACAAATTGCTGCAAAGAGGATATGAGAAGATGGTATGGAATGACATTGGTCTGGAAAACAATATTAAGGTAAAAATTAGTCAAGCGTCTATTGATGCAGTTACTTTTATACCCCCTTTTTGTTATAATGTGCCCCTTTGACGTGAGAAATAGACTCTAACTGGAAATAGCAAACAACTTCTGAGATCTGATGGTGATATTAAAGTTTTCTTTCTCAGTAACTTCGAAATATCAACAACTTCAAAACATCGGAAGTAAAAACTTACGAATAAATAAAGAGAAGATTAATTAGAAAGATAAAGATTCTATTCAACTTAGGCTTTTTACAATCTATCTTTGATGACGCAATCAACTAGAAGATTATTAGAAAAACCGTCAAGGACTTTATTCTTTGCTATTTGCAGGACAATTATAAAGCTTTAATTTGCAGCCAAACAATCCTGCCCAGATTTCTGTCCTTACCTTTGTGCAACCTTGATTTTTTCAAAATAATTTTAATGGCACGTTTTTTAAACCATTTTGCAATCGAATATTCTTTTTTAGGAACGTGGGATGAACGACAAAAAAAAGGTTCCTTTTTATCCATACCGCGATGATGGCATCGTCGTCGATCGAGTAATAAAGAAGTTTGCAAGATCATTTGTTGATATGTAAGCCTTGTATCAAGCTTATCTACTCTCATTTGCCTTGTCGTCATAGCATGTTGATAGGGCTTTCAGCGATTAATGTCTTAAAATTGATTTTAATCATGATATCTCCTAATTCAAATACAATACCTCAACACTTTTTTAGAACAATCTCAAGCTGATGCTTACAACATATTCAACCATACTTCTTACATGAATTGTTTTGCAGATATTACGGTGCTGATGAAGACGTTCAACAGGACAGCGAGCTTCAAAGCTTTATAAACGAGCTTTCTATTAACGGAAGGAGGCCGCCAAACAGTGGAGCCGGAAGGGTGAGATGTTTAGATACTGTTAAAGATTTCTCAATGCTTTCTCAGTAGCAAATCCTCTTTTTCTGACACGGAGTTTAAATTTTATTTTGCAGGTTAAAGGTCTACCTTCACATTTTACAACGAAGTTTCAAGTTGCGAAGTTTCTTTCAGAAGTACTCTGGATTCAAGTTCATCATGCTTTGATGACCTATCCACCGCTCGTTTTTGAATCGACAATGGCTCTATCTCCATCTAAACTTTATGCAGATTCTAGAGGATACAAGGAAAAGAATCTTGCCTATATGCTCTCAGGTCCTCAGGCAGCTATTGTAAGCCCTCTTCCGTCTTTTTTATATACCTGGCATGGCATTCCTTTTTAACCATACACTTTACTCAATTAAGATCTTATACTGTCGAGATGACACTTCAACTACTTTAATTAGAATACCAATACGATACAGCGCCTTGATTGACTCTCTTTAGTTGCTGGAACTGCCTTCCTCGGCCACTTGATTTAAGAAGCTCAGTTTCAGACAATGCGACAAAGGTCAGACAAAGGGAGTGGTTATCAGAGCACATGATACATTCTAAAATATAGTAAAGTAATTCTTAAAAGTGTAAGATAATGAATACAAAGCAAGAAGCGACATAAATTTGTCTTTTTTCTGAAATAGTTACAATCAAGGCTGGCTGCAAGCATTGGAACTGTCCATTACGACAGTCTGTTTGATTATGGTGAAAAGCTGAGAGACGAACCAATGAAAAGACTGGTAGGAAGGACTTACAGGAAACTAATGGAGAAAGTAAAACCACTGCTTGATAGAAGAAATGAGCGAAGGTTGAAAAGGGGACAAGCCACATACCCATTCATCGTTCCTGGTTGGGTTCCAAACAGCATCACCACATAGAAAAGACAATTGTACCACAAATTGAAGTGCACTATTTCATTTCTCGTTACTTGGCTAACTTATGTGATAATGCAATATTTTTTTAAGGGCATTGTGTTCGCCTGTCGGTGAATTTTTAAAATTCTGGTTTTCATCAAAATGTTCTTTTATTATTCCGTATAACTTTGTTTTCGTAACCCCGAACAATTTATGCTTTCTATGTTGATCGATTACTATATTTTTTGAGCAAAGATCTTCAGAATACATCTCAACTAGTTATGTGACATAAACAAGGCATTCTGTAAAACGAACATAAATTCAACAACCAACATTATTCAAATGTGTTGCAACCAATAACCTAACATGAAAAGCAGCTTTAAAAATTAATAAACATATCACAAAGTAGGATTGAATTCTAGAAATGAATCTTGATATGCAAGGGACTTTATTTCTCTTAAGTCAAAATCATTTTCCATATTGTTTGAATAAAGGCATGGAAAAAACGCTTTTTAATGAAATAAGCCGTAGTCTTATTAACATGGACTAGAATCTAAAAAAAAATTTTATTGTGAATATTAACTAAAATCATTGTCTTTTAAAGCACAGAACTACCTTCGGCTCAAATAGGATTTTTAAAGCCTATAGCTTTGACGTTTTTCATGGAAAAATTCATAAAAAACTCTCTTTAGGGCGTAAATTTTCTTTCATCGGAGTCTAGTCTTGATTCAAAATTTTTATTTTGAATAAATTAGCTCTTAAAAAATGGATATTTTTGTAAAACTAAAGCCTTGCCTTTTTTCATAGCGAAAGACTTTTGACAGAAAAAAATCTCTTTTAGAGCAAAATACTGCTTTCATTGGAGACAAGTCTTGATTCAAATATATTTGTTGTTGAAATGAAGTAAAGAAAAGCAAGATATTGGAGAAAGAATCACGGGTCAAAATTAGTCATTTTTGAAAAGCTATATAACGCTTGTCTATTTTCACGGAAGACCTTCACAGAAAAAAAATTCTTAGAGAGCGTAAATCTGCTTTTATTGTAGTAAATACTGGCTCGAACCTTCTCGTTGTTTATATAGAAGAGAGAACAGTCATTTTGCTTTTATTGGTGTATAGGCTTGTTTTTCTTCACGGAAAACCTTGATAGAAAAAATCTCTTAGAGAGCGTAAATCTGCTTTCATTGCAGTAAAGACTGGCTCGAACCTTCTCGTTGTTTATATAGAAGAGAGAACAGTCAATCTGCTTTCATTGCAGTAAAGACTGGCTCGAACCTTCTCGTTGTTTATATAGAAGAGAGAACAGTCATTTTGCTTTTATTGGAGTATAGGCTGGTTTTTCTTCACGGAAAACCTTGATAGAAAAAATCTCTTAGAGAGCGTACATCTGCTTTCATTGGAGTAAATACTGGCTCGAACCTTCTCGTTGTTTATTTAGAAGAGAGAACAGTCAATCTGCTTTCATTGGAGTATAGGCTTGTCTTTATTCACGGAAAACCTTGATAGAAAAAATCTCTTAGAGAGCGTACAACTGCTTTCATTGGAGTAAAGACTGGCTCGAACCTTCTCGTTGTTTATTTAGAAGAGAGAACAGTCAATCTGCTTTCATTGGAGTATAGGCTTGTCTTTATTCACGGAAAACCTTGATAGAAAAAATCTCTTAGAGAGCGTAAATCTGCTTTCATTGGAGTAAAGACTGGCTCGAACCTTCTCGTTGTTTATTTAGAAGAGAGAACAGTCAATCTGCTTTCATTGGAGTATAGGCTTGTCTTTCTTCACGGAAAACCTTGATAGAAAAAATCTCTTAGAGAGCGTACATCTGCTTTCATTGGAGTAAAGACTGGCTCGAACCTTCTCGTTGTTTATATAGAAGAGAGAACAGTCAATCTGATTTCATTGGAGTATAGGCTTGTCTTTCTTCACGGAAAACCTTGATAGAAAAAATCTCTTAGAGAGCGTACAACTGTTTTCATTGGAGTAAATACTGGCTCGAACCTTCTCGTTGTTTATTTAGAAGAGAGAACAGTCAATCTGCTTTCATTGGAGTATAGGCTTGTCTTTATTCACGGAAAACCTTGATAGAAAAAAACTCTTAGAGAGCGTAAATCTGCTTTCATTGCAGTAAAGACTGGCTCGAACCTTCTCGTTGTTTATTTAGAAGAGAGAACAGTCAATCTGCTTTCATTGGAGTATAGGCTTGTCTTTATTCACGGAAAACCTTGATAGAAAAAATCTCTTAGAGAGCGTACATCTGCTTTCAATGCAGTAAAGACTGGCTCGAACCTTCTCGTTGTTTATTTAGAAGAGAGAACAGTCAATCTGCTTTCATTGGAGTATAGGCTTGTCTTTCTTCACGGAAAACCTTGATAGAAAAAATCTCTTAGAAAGCGTAAATCTGCTTTCATTGCAGTAAAGACTGGCTCGAACCTTCTCGTTGTTTATATAGAAGAGAGAACAGTCAATCTGCTTTCATTGGAGTATAGGCTTGTCTTTCTTCACGGAAAACCTTGATAGAAAAAATCTCTTAGAAAGCGTAAATCTGCTTTCATTGGAGTAAAGACTGGCGCGAACATTCTCGTTGTTTATATAGAAGAGAGAACAGTCAATCTGCTTTCATTGGAGTATAGGCTTGTCTTTCTTCACGGAAAACCTTGATAGAAAAAATCTCTTAGAAAGCGTAAATCTGCTTTCATTGGAGTAAAGACTGGCGCGAACATTCTCGTTGTTTATATAGAAGAGAGAACAGTCAATCTGCTTTCATTGGAGTATAGGCAGTCAATCTGTTTCATTGGAGTATGGGCTTGTCTTTCTTCACGGAAAACCTTGATAGAAAAAATCTCTTAGAGAGCGTAAATCTGCTTTCATTGGAGTAAAGACTGGCGCGAACATTCTCGTTGTTTATATAGAAGAGAGAACAGTCAATCTGCTTCATTGGAGTATAGGCTTGTCTTTCTTCTCGGAAAACCTTGATAGAAAAAATCTCTTAGAGAGCGTACATCTGCTTTCAATGCAGTAAAGACTGGCTCGAACCTTCTCGTTAATTATATAGAAGAGAGAACAGTCAATCTGCTTTCATTGCAGTAAAGACTGGCTCGAACCTTCTCGTTGTTTATATAGAAGAGAGAACAGTCAATCTGCTTTCATTGGAGTATAGGCTTGTCTTTCTTCTCGGAAAACCTTGATAGAAAAAATCTCTTAGAGAGCGTACATCTGCTTTCAATGCAGTAAAGACTGGCTCGAACCTTCTCGTTGTTTATATAGAAGAGAGAACAGTCAATCTGTTTTCATTGCAGTAAAGACTGGCTCGAACCTTCTCGTTGTTTATATAGAAGAGAGAACAGTCAATCTGCTTTCATTGCAGTAAAGACTGGCTCGAAACTTCTCGTTGTTTATATAGAAGAGAGAACAGTCAATCTGATTTCATTGGAGTATAGGCTTGTCTTTCTTCTCCGAAAACCTTGATAGAAAAAATCTCTTAGAGAGCGTACATCTGCTTTCAATGCAGTAAAGACTGGCTCGAACCTTCTCGTTGTTTATATAGAAGAGAGAACAGTCAATCTGATTTCATTGGAGTATAGGCTTGTCTTTCTTCACGGAAAACCTTGATAGAAAAAATCTCTTAGAAAGCGTCAATCTGCTTTCAATGCAGTAAAGACTGGCTCGAACCTTCTCGTTGTTTATATAGAAGAGAGAACAGTCAATCTGCTTTCATTGGAGTATAGGCTTGTCTTTCTTCACGGAAAACCTTGATAGAAAAAATCTCTTAGAGAGCGTAAATCTGCTTTCATTGGAGTAAAGACTGGCTCGAACCTTCTCGTTGTTTATATAGAAGAGAGAACAGTCAATCTGATTTCATTGGAGTATAGGCTTGTCTTTCTTCTCCGAAAACCTTGATAGAAAAAATCTCTTAGAGAGCGTACATCTGCTTTCAATGCAGTAAAGACTGGCTCGAACCTTCTCGTTGTTTATATAGAAGAGAGAACAGTCAATCTGATTTCATTGCAGTAAAGACTGGCTCGAACCTTCTCGTTCTTTATATAGAAGAGAGAACAGTCAATCTGCTTTCATTGGAGTATAGGCTTGTCTTTCTTCACGGAAAACCTTGATAGAAAAAATCTCTTAGAGAGCTTACATCTGCTTTCAATGCAGTAAAGACTGGCTCGAACCTTCTCGTTGTTTATATAGAAGAGAGAACAGTCAATCTGATTTCATTGGAGTATAGGCTTGTCTTTCTTCACGGAAAACCTTGATAGAAAAAATCTCTGAGAAATCGTACATCTGCTTTCAATGCAGTAAAGACTGGCTCGAACCTTCTCGTTGTTTATATAGAAGAGAGAACAGTCAATCTGCTTTCATTGCAGTAAAGACTGGCTCGAACCTTCTCGTTGTTTATATAGAAGAGAGAACAGTCAATCTGCTTTCATTGGAGTATAGGCTTGTCTTTCTTCACGGAAAACCTTGATAGAAAAAATCTCTTAGAAAGCGTAAATCTGCTTTCATTGGAGTAAAGACTGGCGCGAACATTCTCGTTGTTTATATAGAAGAGAGAACAGTCAATCTGCTTTCATTGGAGTATAGGCTTGTCTTTCTTCACGGAAAACCTTGATAGAAAAAATCGCTTAGAAAGCGTAAATCTGCTTTCATTGGAGTAAAGACTGGCTCGAACCTTCTCGTTGTTTATATAAAAGAGAGAACAGTCAATCTGCTTTCATTGGAGTATAGGCTTGTCTTTCTTCACGGAAAACCTTGATAGAAAAAATCTCTTAGAGAGCGTACAACTGTTTTCAATGCAGTAAAGACTGGCTCGAACCTTCTCGTTGTTTATATAGAAGAGAGAACAGTCAATCTGCTTTCATTGCAGTAAAGACTGGCTCGAACCTTCTCGTTGTTTATATAGAAGAGAGAACAGTCAATCTGCTTTCATTGGAGTATAGGCTTGTCTTTCTTCACGGAAAACCTTGATAGAAAAAATCTCTTAGAAAGCGTAAATCTGCTTTCATTGGAGTAAAGACTGGCGCGAACATTCTCGTTGTTTATATAGAAGAGAGAACAGTCAATCTGCTTTCATTGGAGTATAGGCTTGTCTTTCTTCACGGAAAACCTTGATAGAAAAAATCTCTTAGAAAGCGTAAATCTGCTTTCATTGCAGTAAAGACTGGCTCGAACCTTCTCGTTGTTTATATAGAAGAGAGAACAGTCAATCTGCTTTCATTGGAGTATAGGCTTGTCTTTCTTCAAGGAAAACCTTGATAGAAAAAATCTCTTAGAAAGCGTAAATCTGCTTTCATTGGAGTAAAGACTGGCGCGAACATTCTCGTTGTTTATATAGAAGAGAGAACAGTCAATCTGCTTTCATTGGAGTATAGGCTTGTCTTTCTTCACGGAAAACCTTGATAGAAAAAATCTCTTAGAAAGCGTAAATCTGCTTTCATTGCAGTAAAGACTGGCTCGAACCTTCTCGTTGTTTATATAGAAGAGAGAACAGTCAATCTGATTTCATTGGAGTATAGGCTTGTCTTTCTTCAAGGAAAACCTTGATAGAAAAAATCTCTTAGAAAGCGTAAATCTGCTTTCATTGGAGTAAAGACTGGCGCGAACATTCTCGTTGTTTATATAGAAGAGAGAACAGTCAATCTGCTTTCATTGGAGTATAGGCTTGTCTTTCTTCACGGAAAACCTTGATAGAAAAAATCTCTTAGAAAGCGTAAATCTGCTTTCATTGGAGTAAAGACTGGCGCGAACATTCTCGTTGTTTATATAGAAGAGAGAACAGTCAATCTGCTTTCATTGGAGTATAGGCTTGTCTTTCTTCACGGAAAACCTTGATAGAAAAAATCTGTTTATATAG